GAAAGGCAGGGCAGGAACCAGAGAAATGTACTGAACAGACAAATAAGCCTTTTAGAAATAAATCAAGATCTTGTCTCCAAAATCTTGCCTGAACACCATGCTGTTAAGGTAGGCTGGACCACACATCTCCATTTGTGTGGAGCACGGCAGCTTTGAGCACAGCCACCAACCCCATGCAGAACAAGAGGAGACGTTCTGCAAACGTATGCCTAGGCACTGTCCTAGTGATCTGGGGAAGGCCAGGAATTAGAGACTCGAGGTTACGGAGACTGAAGTCAGTGGGGGATGCTACAAGCCCTTTCTGGAGGCAAGGAGAGGGGTTACAAGACCAAACCGAGTGGCTCACTCATTACATGCATGCAAACACATCTTAACCATGCCTTAACACAGCAATATGATCATGGAAAAAAAACAAATCAAAACAAACCTGTAGGCAGGGCACCTGGTTACTGAAATGCTGAATGATAAATGTCTCGATTGTGTCACATCCCTGGAGTACCATTTCTCAGGTACATGTGGTCATTGTAGCCCACTTAAACAATTTCAGTGAGATTCATATCTATGGTGAGCCTGAAGCACCAAGACGATGGGCCATAATTGCCAAGTTACCTCAAAACATTGTAGCTGTCTTTCACTTGTAACCCTAACTACAAGATCCTGAATTAAACCTTGGATGATGGTGAAGAACAACACTTTCTACATCCAATTTATTTGTTTCATCTTCAGTTACTATTACACATCTCCAAGTTTGAGGTTGGGTTTTGTTTTTTTTTGGCCTGGCCTTATATACCAACATTCTCAGATACTAGATAACATTAGACAGCAAAATTGGAGTAATTATAATTAGGGAAAAAAAGTTCACCTCTACACACCAAAGAAACATTATTTAATATCACTGCTTTCCGCTTTTAGAAGCTTGACAATCATTGACTAACTCTCACCACATCCCTGGGATGCGGGGAAAAAAAAAATTAAGAAAATCTCACTTTACAATTTGGAGAGAGAAATAAGTGACATGAGTGTGTGCCCAGAGCCAGCCAGTCAAGAAGCACGATTACCATCATGACCCGTGACACCACATCACACTTCCTCTCTCCATTTTATTTCAGCTTCTCAGCTCTCCTACAATAGATGAGGGACTACTGCTTTTATGAGACACTCATCCTTACCTCCCTCACTCACAAACCCCCTTCCAATAGAAAACACAAGGTCGCCTTCCCACACAACCCAGCATGACCTCTCAAACCCAACCCACTCTGCAAGCCACCTCCTGCCAGTTCCCTCCCACTCCCAGGGAGGCTCCCAGCCAGCCCACACCCTCACTCCCTTCCCAAAGCAGTGTCCTCAGAAGGAGATGAGTCAGGAGTGGGTAGCAGGATGGCAAGTTACCTGGAGAAGACATCCTTGGGCAAAGACAGGAGACTGAAGATTAGTTGCCTTGGATGTAAGGTTCATGACACAACTTCTTTGCAGCCTAAAGTGCCTCCTGGTCCCCCAGACAGTGCTTCCCCCCACCTCGATCCTACCCAAAGCGATGCTGTTCCCATGCAGGACTCCCTAGAAATCAGCTGCCTTCACTGGAGCCAGCCCAGCTGCAAGCAGTCTTAACAAAGCAGTGTTCCCCTGACTACATATTCACATCTGGTTCTGCACAAGCTGGGACTACACTTCCCCTTTCTCCCCCCACTGCATGGCAACAGCCTTTAAAACCACATAAAAATCTGGAAGGAGTGGCAGAGGGCAGGATGAGCAGAACTTTATGCTCTGCACAGCCTATGCTGATGGCATCTAGGACAAGTGTTCAGTGAGGACCTGCCCTGGAGCCTTCTGTTATCCAGACAGAGCCCACCAGGCTTCTTCCAAGATTGTCTCCTGGGCACCCCTGGGCATCTATTTCAGATTTTACAAGCTCCAGAGGGTCCAAGGGACTCTCATCCCCAGAGCATGTGAAAATCGACTGGAATGCATCAAACAAAGCCTGCCCAGTCCCGAGGACTCCCCCAGCAGCAAGTCTCCAGTTGTGGAAACTCTCCCCGATCTCGCACCCTAGTTTTTCCTCCAGTCACTGGGAAAAGAATGTGTTTCCTCCAGACATTGGAATGCCCAACCCTTAGCTTGCACATTCAAATAAAGGCATTTATTCATTTGCTATTCCTGTCACATGAATACCCCGGCACCTGGTTCCTTCCCTCTCCCTAAACCATATTAATGTAACATTAAGACAGAGAATTTAGTCTCCAAAAAGACACAAAATTCAGAGTGACAGTTCCCAGGGCAATGCTGCTAACTCACAAACACGTCTATCACACACCCTGTGGCAAGGTCTTGAGAAACAGGAACTCCAGCTGCAACCCTGACACCCCCATCCCCTTTCCTCTGGGCAAGTCACGTAACCTTTATGCCATTCAGGGGAACTATCTGCAACGCGGAGGTAATACACCCAAGACCTGTTGCACAGAGTAACCCACAGCCAGACTTTCCCGAAGCAAAGGGCGTGAAGAGAGTGATGGCTGTGCTCAGACTGACAGCGTATGCAACTTGCCCTTGGATTAGTGTTCAGACATTGTTTGTTCATCCTGGTACACAAGCCAAGCAGCAGAAGTAAAGAGCTAAGTTGGGGTGGGATGAATAATAAAAGTCCTTCAAAAAGAAGAAATGACCCCACAAGCAGACGTTTAGCCTCTCGTGATCAGTTCGTACAGAGCAGGCACACACAAAAGGATCGACAGACATAGCAGTGAGAATTATTTTGTGCATGTCTGCTTGTGGCAGTTACCATGGCTGTGGAAATCTTGACTGAGAATTCAATGGAGAGTCAGTTATATATAAGCAGGTCAAGCCAAAACACAGAAGACCAACTCGGAAAGCTCTACAAGAACTATTTTTACTACGTGGAAGAGGTCAGGAGATCACAGCCTACTCTCAGCACACAACACTCCTCATTTCAACATAAATAATGCATTTTCAGTCTACAGTTACACAGTATTAAGCAAAGAAGACAGTGGGAAACTGCTTTATTTTCTGCAGGCCAAGTCCTGACTCCAGATTTCTGAGAAACCATCTGCAAGATGGGAGAATGGGAAGCCTTCCCTAGGAAGAATGAGGACATGAAATCCCATGGAAGCTGTTAGTTTAAAAGGTTTGAGTTCCTTGCTCTGATTTTCAAATTCCCAGCTTATACATTTCAGAATAAGGTCTCCCAGAGATACAAACTGAGCTGGGAGCACAGGAGCTACTTTCTGGGTCCACAGGCAGAGCAGCCTCAGTGTTTCTGCTCTTTGGACTTGCCAACCAGTAGCAGAACAGAGTCAGCCAGCTCAGAACAGACCCTACAGTAACTATGAAAGCCTCACACTGTGGATAGACAAAGTTTAGACCAAGTTTAGCAGGGGACAGAAGTTTCCAGTCAGGGAATAGAAGAGAAAACCACAAGAGGTTTTCACCTCTGCTCCTCACAGTAACCAGGTATGGTGCACCAGGGGTTCATTCCCAGAACGACATTTTGGGTGACCTCAGGAGATTTAAGTGCAGGAGGTACTAACCTGCACAAGGTTTTTACAAAAACTGGGATGATGGCCATCAC